CTGATCTTAGATCCTGAGGCAATCAAGTCCTAAAGAAAACAGGATCATTTGTGTGATTAATACTTGTAATCAAATGGATGAAACTGTAGGGATNCACCAAACTGTTCTATGTTTCATTTATTAATTGAAATGTGTATAAGAAAAAAAAATGAGGATGGTATGTTTAGCTCCCAAAGGATGTAAAATTCAATTTTGACATTAAATAGAAGGATATGAGAAAAGGTTAGATGTTAAATAAAATGCTGAGACATTTGTGAGTGGGATGGAAGAGGAAGATAGTACATAATATGCTGGGTTMATATAGTTCCGACAAGTTATCATGAATTAAATAATTTTCTTAATTAAAGCTTTTGTCACTGTATGTTCAGGGCAACCTGCTATTCAGATACAGCTGCTGCATTTTTAAAATATTCTACACCTTTGGGGTGTTACTAAATCTTCCAAAGGTTAACCCCTTGTCCAGTAACACCATTAATTAACTTCAATCAAGAAAATATTTGGATGACGATATAATTTTAAGTACTGACAATATTTTCTGTGTAATGTTCTGCTTAAAAGTCCCTTGAGGTGCAATTGCATAAATCAGCTGCTGTTTTATGTTTTGTTTCACAAACTAAAAACCAAGCAAATAATCCCACAGCATTCAGGGTCATAAGGGGTAATGCTAAAATTTCCACAATAGGTTGCACAATAGTTTTTAATTAAAAACCACTGGAAAACACTAGACGAAATTAGGTTTTTAGTTGTGGTACCTGATTTAATAGTCTGAGCATTTAATTCACACAAAGGAATTACTGAAAAGGAGTTCAGATGTAGTGATGAGAACTTCAGTTCTGCTACCTCTGGGATCCCCAGTCTTTTCCCTTAGCCAGTTTTTCCCCTAAGCTGTGCGGTTTTCTTGCAGCCTTTGTCCTCTAGTTTTCTTCAAGAACTTCAATTCATTTCTGCACAAAAGCACAGCTTCTATGGAATGATGACAAAGGGCTGCTGCACACTATTTACACAAATCCAGTGGTTCTGGGTGAAGTGGGATATTTTTGGATGTATATATCCCAAGATATTCGCCACTATTATGGTCCTATTACATCTATTAACCTATAATACTACAGGAAAATTTAGCTCTAAAGACTCATCTTTCCCTCTCATCATACAATCATGGAAGGCTAAGCTGTCTCCTCAGAATTTTGGTTTTCACTGGTCTTTTAAATTAATTTAGATTTGTATTTTATATCACAAATTGTACATTTTTCATTAACAAGGTAATGATGTGGCAGTGAATGATGGACAATAAGAACACAGACTGTGATCTAAGAAATTCTGTTTTTTTTCCAAATCTATCCTATTTATTTCATGACCTTGGGTAAGATGTTAAATAGACCATGGTAAAAATAGACCATGGTAAAAATAGACCATGTTGGGATGGAGAGGAAGAAAGTAATAATTTTCTTGATCATAACAGTAATGATAGAAAAATATTCCAAAATGAGAGAATTATTCCATATTATAATAAAATACCAAAGGATCACTGAAGTTGCACAAGAGCATGCAGGTTCATCAGGTGCTAGACCCCTGAGCAACACAACTATAGAAAGATACTTCTGACAGCTGTCCTACTCATAATATGCTGGAAGTGTTCAGAGCTCTGTTCTGAATGGTGTGATAAACAAATCTAAAGGAATGAAAAAGATATGTGAAAATGAAATTCTGCATAGGAGGAGCTGATATCTGCCATCACTTGACTATAGCATGGTACTTTGAGTTGATGTGTCCTATTTGTGATTTTAATGTCTGATGTTTTAATTCATCAGTGTTAATACTTGAGAATCCAGGAAGTACAAACTGTTTACTAAAGCACAAGGTACTTTCTTGTCTTTACCTTTTCCTCCTTGGRTAATTCTGCACTAAATTATCCATTTTGCAATGGCTTCAGACCTGAACATGTGTTCTGTGCATACAATGACAGATTGCTAATTTTCATGTTGCATCATGTAGGTTTGTTATCCTAAAGGATGAATAGATGGAGGAAATTAAGCTCAGCACATCTTCTGCTATGAGGTTTATTTGTCACAGGAAATCCTGACAGCCCAAATTAGGATCCTTACATTCATTAGATCATCTTCCTTTACTTACACCAGCATTCCTCTTTCTTATTTGGTGTTTTGGTTTTCTGTATGAGGCTGTGCTTCTTACATATTGCTGAGATACATAACTTTGCTCTGTCACTCTCTCAGATGTAGCTGTGCATGTCTGCTATGAGTACCAATTCCTGGTCTGTTTGCAACATCTCTCCTTGCTCTACAAGCACAATCTGGCAGTCGAGACTCTCTCTGGGGCCATAGGAAAGATGTKTATGTGACTCCTAATACATTAAAAAAATCATGCTTTAAAATATTCTTTCATCTTTTCATTTYGTAGTTCCCTACTCTTTACTTCTGCACAAAAGCACAGCTTTACTTGCGCTCACTCCTATTTAAGTCCCATGAAACCATACCTTACTGCATTACAGATATGAGCCAGTTCCAAAAACCAGACAGCTAATCATGATGACCATGAGAATTTTGCTACTGATTTCATTTACTTCCAGAACAGGCTTCTCATTATGTGTTTCACAATTGAAGCTTGAAAACCAAATATATCAATTAAATTACACCTTTAAATATGTGCTCATGACTGCCATTCTTGGCCCTTTCTGCTTTGAAAGGAAAGGTTTGCTCTTCATGTTCTGGGTACTGAATTATCTGTTATGCTTATGATTTCATTGAGCTATTTCTATCCACCAACCTACGTAATAATGTTAAATGCCATGCACATTAATATGATGGCAGTATGCAGCAAAATAGCTTCTTTTACAGGAAACTGGTTCATTAGATGCTTATTATAGGAAAGTGGTGCATAAGGGCACTATTATACTGTTAGGCTTGCATCCAAAGTATCATAATTATCAGTATAAAGGAAGTAGATATTGATGCAACTGCCTGCCCAGCATCAAAGGCACCACCAAGTTTACCAACCACAGAAGACCTAACCAGAAAACATATAAAATAGCTAATGTGGACCTCCAGGTCTAGTTCCTCCATCCCTCTGCCTCCAACAGGCCTAATAAAATGTTTTGAAACCTTGCAATAAAAAATAATCTATTCAAGTGTTTCATTAKTTTTTTGTAATTAAAATGTTTATTTCTGTATGTCTAACCTAACAGTCCCATTGTTGTATTGTAAGTCTGTTAGTTTTCCTTCCAAACATGATGAATTTGGAGAACCAATGATTCTCTTGCACTTCACAGCAATATTTCCTGATTTTGAAGTGTGTCTCAGATACTGAAGACTAAATGATAAACCCAAGTCCTTCCAACATATTTTCCCGCTTTCTATCTTTGTTTCTTTCTAAATATTCCAGTTGTCCCTCATTTTTGCTAATAGCTGGTGCCTAAAATCATACCATACAYAAATGAAGAAGGAATATTGTTTGCTGTGTTTACAGCCTGTACTGCTCTTTACAAGGTGTGCATTTCCCTTATTCAGCATATTGCTGCCTCATGCTCAGCCACAATCCACTGTATTATGGGATTTTCTTTTAACATAACCCAGTGTGTATATGGGTAATAATTGCACTAGACTCTCTACTCATCATAATCAAATTCTGAACACTGCACTCTAATGCCATTCTCCAAAATTATGTCAGTCTTTATCACCATCTTCAGACTTAACTCTATTCCATCACGTATATCCTATATATACCTCCATATAAATGCATAAATATTTATAAATTTASGTGCAAATATAGCAAATATAGGTGAATGCAAATATAGGTGAATAAATATTGCTGAGGCATGACACATGAATTTGGGACATTTAAACCTTCATAGCCTGTGTAAGGTATGTGATAATGAGCTGATCTTCACACAAASGAGCCCAGAGCAATGGCAGGTGTGGGAAGCTGAATAACACCATGATGTAACTGCTTTGTGACCATTACAGGAATCATCAAACTGTGAAAGTCTCACCCTCAAAGCCACGAGGGAGCACTGAAACCCCTGGTTGGCCATGTGACCCCATTCAAGTCTGTTCCATAATGTTCCCCAGCACTGAGGTCAGGCTGACAGGCGCATAGTTCCCTGGATTCTCCTTCTGACCCTGAATAATTCTGAATTTACTGCACTAATGCCCAAACAACCTGCATTAGTTTAATTGAGATGACTTCAGAGACCTGTAGAACAGCKTTTTGGAACAAAGAATGATCCTGACACACACAGACAAAGTGTTGAGTCTACAGAGCTGGAGCATTCAAGAAGAAAGATAGTAATAGATAGTTTTCATATTGATGTAAGCTATCATCTAACTGATGAGGAAGATGTGAGTGTTCAAAGAGTTGTAGATTTACCTTAATCTTGTCTGAAGTTCTGATAATTGTTTCAAGACCTTTTGTATGATTTGTTAAATTTTTAGGTACTAGGCTACCGGCAATAAAATTCAATAAATATAAATATAGGCTGACTCATATTGATTCATCATTGAAAATGTGCCATTTTTCAACTTCTTTTCCCTTATAATGTGGGCAGAAGCTTTACTGCCTATTCACAGAATATATTTATAATATTAACCATAMATTAGAATATTAATCGCATATTTCTTATCTAATCACATATTTTCAAAGAAATATGGCAATCAGTACTAATGAAGATATACTCTACTTGAAATATGAATTAAACATTGCCTTCAGATACTGTAATATCATTTGTACATTTTGACTGAATATCTAATTCAGCAAGATATACAGGGAATATTTTATATATATATATATATATATATATATATATATATATATATATATATATATATATGTATAAAATTTTATCCTGAAAAAGAAAACAGAAATAATCAATATGTACTGAGTTTCATAATAGAAATAATTTGCATTAAAAACTTTTCAGCTACAGAAGTACTGTTTCTTCATTACTAGAAATTATAGGACAATCCAAATATATTATGTTTTGGGCGGTTTATTTTCTTTTTCATATGTAATCAATGATTAATAAATGTTTCATGCAGTTACAAAGGAAACAAGCTGAATGTAAAACGTCAAATAGTTTATTGAAGGTTTTAATAGTTTCTTGTCCAGAGAAGCACAGGTACAGACACAAGGCAAGCATTTTACTGCTTCCAGGAAAAAAAATGAACATTCAATCCTTTTAAAACCATTTATTTCAAACCAATGAAGGTACAATGCCCTAAAGTTTGAGATTTTTAAAACCCACCAAACAACAGAACAACTGAAATACACATGAAGAATTTCTGGTGGCATTGCAACATGAAGATGTCACGTGTATTCACTGATGTGACACCTGATGTCAAAGCAATTGGCAAAGCTCTCACAGGTGATGGTTTAACCACTGTAACTATTTCTGGTTAAACTTCATGTCGGTGTTTTCCTGTCTGAATATCCACATCACTCCTGCTCTCTGTGTAGTGGTTTGCGCTCTGGGGGCAGCATTGGCTGTAACTTCTGCCAGCGCTGGGGAGGCCACAGAATATGAGTAGCTCGGGCATGTAGAAGTCCCAGAGAAACCTGCAACCAAAATATAAACCAGAGATGTCATTGGGTTACACAAATAAATCAATACGTGAAAAATACAAAGCATGTGACAATTTGTTAGAGCAATGGGAGAATACAAAGAAAAGACTGAATACTCTCACATGAATGTAAAGAGAGAAAAAGAAAATGTCTTTAGTAACTTTTTTTTTTTTTATAAAACATTCTGTGGAACTCAAAACAGCTTGCTGAAATGGATGATCTCTAAGAAAGAACTTGGATTGGGTTTTTTTTCATTTTCAAGAAAAAAGCTGCTCAAAACAGGTGAGGCATTCTATAATACACATAAAGCTTTAGATTCTTAGTTACTCTGGGTCCCAAGAACAAATTTCAAGTATTTTGAATAAATTAAACAGAACCTGTGTCTCGGATTTGAGCCATGTCTGTTAACCATACACGGATGGCAGCCTTTCTAAATATGCTGTGTTTACTATTTATCACTCTCCTTCAAACTCCATTTTGTCTTCAACCAAAAATAAAAATTACTGCGAACTGTAAAGATTTCCCTGAGGATGAAAATGTATTTACAGATCAAAAACTTTKGAAGTCCTAGGACTGCTTACACTTAATTCATATGTTCTGCAAACATGTTTCATCATCTTACTATTTATTATTGTTTACTTCAATAATTTTACTTCACTAATGTTTTACTTCAATAAATCAAAAAAAATTTCAATTCTGATGTTTCTTATAAATGAATCACAGATGACATCGTTTAGAAAACTGAATAGCTTAGAAAATCTTAAGTAAATTATAAACAAAACCCTTTTCATATATGGTGCAAAAATGGCTAGACTAAGAGTAAGAATAGAACAGTCATCATTTCAGAATGAGCTAAGGCTCTCCATATTTAACACTGAAATTAAGTAATTTTATATGGAGTTAATCTTACTTAATTTGAAAAGCCTGCAGGATAAAMTTCTGCATCTTGAATTATTTGTTTAGACTTCCAGAAAAAATAGCATGTAGTAAACATCYAGCACCAGTAGCAAATTTATAAACAGGATAAAAACATAGTTAAATACTAGAAAGTTGTGTCTGTGAAAAGATGGAATAATTCAGACTCCTAAGCAGATAACACTGCTATAACTCTACAGAATTAGTAATRGCATGGATTAAAAAATGCATAGGCTTTATTTGCCTTTTATGTCATTATTTCTTCTAAGAACAAGGCAACATTGATGATATTATCCTAAAGAATTTTTAAGCCAGCAAAAAGGAAATGCTTTTCAGTATGTGCAGGATTACATCATATTTGCATATATTATACAAGATACTGAAGAGAASAGAAAAAAACTAGAAAACTGGTTCAAAAAATAATGATGAAAGCAAAGTCCAACCCAGATAATTGAACATAAACAAGCAGTCTAGTCTCTATATTCCATATCAGGAACCAAAGAGGGAAAAAAATAAATACTTGCTTTATCCTTATGCTCTAATGACCTGGTATTGACTGTTGTCATGGCCAGGAATTAAATGGATTTTTGGTTTCAACTTGTACTTTGCTGCTTAAATTCCTATGTAAACTCAGTTCCATTCCATTTCTCATTAAAAAAAAAAAAAAAAAAAAAAAAAAGTGACTTTAGTAAGCAGGTAATTCAGCATTTTATGCAAATAGATACCAAATAGGCCCCTAGGAATATGTTCAGCTAATTTTCTTGATTTAATTTCATAGGATTAATGTATATTCACCAGTGTCTCTCTACTACATAATCAAATCAGTGAAGCTGAAGTGGTATATATCTAATTCCATATTCTGTAGCTTGATGAAGCAGGTGCTGAATTACTTGAATATAATTTGGTTACTTAATATCCCATGATATCTAAAAGAATCTGAAGTAGATCACCAAAGTGCAGTCTAACATCATACTTCACTTGCTTGATCCCTTGCAAGGACCACTTGTTTCCCTTTCCTTTCTCACAGATCCATTGCAGTCTTTTTTTTGTAAGTAAATTTAAGTAAAGGACAGGCTGCTAAGAGACAACTCTTTTTCAACARCATTGAGCAACATTTTTTAATGTCTCAACACACTTCTTGTAGTTTGGTTGATATTTATGGAATTCACAACATTCTTTATCTTAATTAGCCCATAAGGTGGGCTGCAAATGTAATATTACCGTGTTGGTTTTTTTTTTTCCCTGAGCATACAGCATGATAGCACACACATTACAGGCTGGTGCCAAAATATAAAACCACAGCAAATCCCACAGCTGCATATAAAATGTGACAGCATTAGTACAGAGAAAAATGTTAAAATACTCCTTTCAAACACAAATAACATCTCATTTTCAAAGCTCTGTGTTTTTCTCAGTACATTGCTTGTTACTGATGTCAGTGGGAGGTCTACAAACAGACTGAGAATATAATAAATGAATCAAAACATGTTTTAAGCTGAGGCTGGGAATAATTTTGCCCAGAGGATTACTTCCAGTGACCATCATCTGCCTTGAAACTAATAAAGAAAGCTCCTTCCTATAAAAATGATTTACAGCATGACTAGMGTTAAAAAGGAAAAACAGGTATTGTTGGATGATGGAGGCCTTTGCTAAAGAACAAATTACACTGATGCTATAGGACTTCTTTTGTAATAACTWACAGGTTCACTTTAAAAGCACCTTGATGTTTGACTTCTGCAAACAACTATAAYAACTTTTTTCCATTGCCTATTATTATTCTGCACTTACCTTAGCAGCCATGAATTTCACTGAGGAAGAACAGAATTGTTCTCAGAGAATAATCTGCCCTTGTTAATGGATTTACTCTCATCAAGGTTAGATATATATGAACTCAAAAGGGTGAACTGAAAGGCTACACTTTCTGCAGTGAAATACTGAAATAATCTATTAATTAATCACCTCACTTATAGACATTATTTTCTCCCTTCACTTAAGAAAATAAGTTAATCCCCTTGAAACACTGTCTTAACTGTAAGAATAATCAGTACTTTACAGACATAAATTCTTTGAAGGCCATACTTCCTTTCAGACACAGACATGCCAGCAATTAAAGAGTTGGGGGTTATTCTACATTATGACCTGTTATTCTTACTGTGGCAACAGACACTATATTGAATTGAATCCATAAGCTGACCTGTTTAAGATTTTTCTTAATCTTTGAATATTAAGTCGAACAACTAAGAAGTCACTTTGTTAACAGAGCAGTTTTATCTGCAAAGTTTTGAATTAATAATACTGTTTTGACACTGCGACTGTGCTAAAAGCAWATTTCCTCAGTGTCTGCTTGTTGTTAGTATGTTAGTTGTATGGAGACTGATTCGTTTTGGCAGGGCATTAGGAAAAGATAAGCCCAAGACTGATAGTGCTATCTGCAGAGGTACTTACAACAATCTTGCYTATTTTGTCCTAACAGGCTGGGATAAACCACCTTTATTAGTGTAAAGACTTACAATAATATCACTTCCTCTGSTTCCAAAATACATCACCACAATGGGAAAATCAGTATTCAGACTGTTGTTACAAGAGTACTGTATACATGCAGCATACAGTGGAGAACATAAAAATTCCTATGGAAATAACAGGTGCTCAGTTTGGATCTCAAGAAATGGAAAAGCCCAGATAAGGGTGTGATCCTCTGCGCTGGTTTTGGCTGGGGTATAGTTAATTCTCTTCACCGTGGCTGGTATGAAACCCTTGGATTTCTGCTGAACACAGGGTTGATAAAATACAGATATTTTTGTTATTGCTGAGCAGGGCTTACACAGAACTAAGGCCTGTTCTGCTTTTCACACAGCCACTGCTGCTGGCAAGGAGATTGGGAGTACCTCGGAGGTTGGAAGGAGACAGCAAAAACAGGTCACCCCAGCTGACCAAAGGTCTATTCCAGGCTGTATGACATAATGACATAAGTTGGGGAAAGCAGGAAGGGAAGGTTTGGAGTGATGGTGTCTGAGTTCCCAAATCGGTATTACATGCGATGGGGTCCTGTTCTCCTGGACATGGCTGAACCCCTGTCTGCCTGTGGGAATTAATTCCTTGTTTTGCTTTGCTTGTGTGCATGGCTTTTGCTTCTTCCATTAAACTGCCTTTATCTCAACCCTCAACTTTTCTGGCATTTACCCTTCCATGTCTCTCCTAGATGCTGCTGCTGTGGGAGTGAGCGAGCAGCTGCKTGGAGCTGGGCTGCCGGCTGGTGTGAAACCCCCGCACCCTCACAAGGGTATTCTCAGCTTTCCCAGAGAATGTAAAGTCTACCCAAACAGCTAAATTCAAGCATTGCAGCTCCTAGTCATGAGTTCATTTTGTTTTAAGAACATTCCCCACAGATTTCTCCTTGCTTCTTTTTTTCCTTAAGCCTTCTTGATTTTGCTGTAGCTTAAACAGCCAAGATCTCAAATTCTGTAAGAACTCTGAAACAAGGAAGAAAAACACCACTAAATATAGCCTGAGAAACAGCAATGCAGAACCAAAACATCCAAACCTTTAAAACTTCAGAAAAAGTTAAACTTCCTAACTTGTAATTTTCTAACTGCAAGTAACAAGCATAGACTCATAGGATTAAAGAATCATAGAATGAAAGACTACTTAGACTGAGAAAGACCTCAAAGGTCATTAATCCAACCATTAAGACACTATTTACCACTAAACCATATCCTCAAGTGTCACATTCACATGCATTTTGAACAAATCCAGACATGCAATAAGACAAAGACACAAAACAAAAACGCAGTGTTAATACAATGTATCACAGCCCTGCAATTCAGCACAGCCACTGCCCGTAACAAGCAGCAGACCTTCTACCAGCTCTGCAAGGCCTCAAGAATAATCTCTCATGATTTGTCTGAACTTACCTCTCCTGCCTGGAGTTTTGATTCAGTTTGTTTAGCTGCAACAAATTTTCTAATGATCAGGTGACTATTGGCTAATTTGTTACAGTTTTGCTTATATCGCTTATATTTGCTTATAATTGTAAAATCTTGTGGTATAATCAGTTTTGACATATACATTAAAAAGTCAGC